AACATAAGATCATATATCTCCTAATATAATGAATAGATACAGACCCACTCATTATATATACTCATGATACATAATGACTCCATTCTAATATAACATTAAAGGATGAACCAGTAGTAGGACTGGAGTGAATACTAATAGTAATACAGTATAACCTCCTCCTATTGTGGACACTCTAAAATAAGGACACCTCTATAATGAGGAGGGGTAGTATCAGTCCCAATACAATAGTAATGTGTATTAATGAACCTCTCAAATAAGGACAGGTTCATAATCAGGAGCTAGGCTAATATTGGGTCCCAAGGTCTCCGGAATAGACAGGTATAACACGTACACATGAATACCTTTATCCTCCATACAATGTACTGTAGTATCCTCTTACTACACTAGGTTACAAGTATAGTCAGGCCTACCTTAAGTATATCCCTAGCTCCCTTTATTAATATCATCATTAATTACTAGTATATATAATGTACTGTAGAGTATCAGGAGCTAGTCTCTTACTTGTGGTGTCCCCTGGGGTCTCCTCAATACATTATCAGTCCGTACATATTTAATCACTTCTTCATTGCTCATCCCATAGTAAGGTTGAATACCATATGAGAATATCTCCCACAGTACTACACCATAGGACCACACGTCACTGTCTATTGTGAATTTACACAACATAATAGCTTCAGGGGGCATCCACCTAATGGGCAGCAACTCTGACTCACCTAACCTACAGTGGGAATAATACTATACTATATAATATGGATCAGAATATGGAATAAAAATTTGGGGTGATTTTGAGCCAATTTTTAGAAAAAACCATGGACTATAGCCTTGGGTATTTTTTAGATTTTGTCATTTTCTTAAAATGGCTCTAACTTGAAAAATTAAAGTCGGAATCAGCTCAAACTTTCTACACAGCATATGGACATCAATATGTATCAGAAAATGTAATAAAAATTTGGGGTGATTTCGGAGCCATTTATGGAAAAAACTATGGACTATAATAGCCTTGGGTATTTGTCAAATTTTGGTGTTTTCTTAAAATGGACACATTCTTCATTAAAGTATCATTAATATTATTTCACTTACTAATTAAACACCACGTCTTGTGAAGATTCAATTTTAGAGGGTGTTTGAATGTTGCCACGGTTACTAGGATGATGTAGGATCGTCATCGTCATGGTTACCAGTCTG